TGCTCGTAGTGAGTGTGGCAATCACAGGGGAGTCGGCTTGACTTCGGTCGTAACGAGACTGTTGACGTCACTTATGCTTCGCCACCTTCCGGTGGCTCGTGAGACATTGGCTCGACAGCAGCAAGCGGGATTCCGGCCCGGTAGGGGTCGCGTTGACCAAATCTTCGCTCTTCGTCAGGTGCTAGAACAATAAGCGGCCCACAATTCTAGTGTTCCTGGATTTCCAAGGCGCTTTGGATTCGTTTGACCGGTCTGTTCTGCTTGACACGCGTAAGCGGCTACAACTTTCTGGAATTCTGACGCGTTCTGGAGCTCCATTGGCAACCGGCATTCGGCCAATACTGGGTCATGATTGGCTGTTGGGTCCAGATTGTTGACCAATCAGATCTCGTCTTGATGCCGGACCGGCAAGCGTCCCGAATTTTGGGCCAACCTCGAGCGGGCTAGGCTTCTCGGCCATAGCAGCGCCTAAAGACGTGCGGTATAGTGGGATCCGCGTGGATTCCTGCCTAACATCCAGCCACAGGCGGGGTCACGGAGACCCCATTCTGGAGGGCGTACAACGACACCCAAGCTCTCCGTGATCTCTTTCACGCCCTTTTGCCAAGTCATGATTTGTCCACCTTGCGGTTTGTGCCATTCTGAAGGAAGACGGAGAACAACGCTCATTTTGGTAGAGAGCGTTCCGTAGCACATGAATGATCCACCGCATTTAATGGTGTTGAATGTTTTCCGAGACTTGAGTGCCCGCTGCACAACCAGTTACCTTTGAACGTCTGATTGTGGCAGACCATGTGCTCAGATATTGCTATGGTTGCCATGGGTATGAATGCTCTAGTTGGTAGGCTTACTGCTGCCGAGGCTCAGTTGCGTGGTCGTCTTGGACTGAAATCGAGGCGCATGTACAAAAGTGCACCTCTATTATAGTTATGAGCTGACCAAAACCGTGCAGTACCAACTTTCGGAACAACCGAAGCCGCTTTGCCACATGGTGCCTCTGGCACGCTAGCCAACCTCCAACCCAGATAGACTACATCGCTCTTGGTTGTAGGTGTCGTGGGCCAGTTGCTGATTGCCGCTGGTTTTGGAATACCTTTGTGGGTTCGGATCACGCACTTGTTCGTTTCCGCCTCTGGTTGTGCTTTACTGTGACGTGGAAAACAGACACCTCGCGTGGCTATTAAGAGGTTCTGCGACCATCATGTGAAGTAAGTTTGCCAAAACCAACTACTAAAACCCCCCCTTGGATGTCTGCTGATGTTGACTTTTACTGGAAGGTAAACCCTGAAACCCTGCAACATGATGGCCGGTTTGATTGTGGAACGACGCAATCAACTAGTTCTAAGCACCGTATCTCGAGAAACACTGGAACGGCTGGGAGCTCGGACATGTATTCTTCTTGGTCGAGAGTATTATACTATTCGGCGAACTGTCAGACCTCAGTTGGAAAGACCATCTGTAGGGATAGAGAAGGTTGGTGGGTCCGAAAAGTCAGACAGTTGGAGGTACGGAAAATCTCTGGGAGTGTGTTTTCATTGTCCACCAGGGCTGTCGGTTTTTCTCTAGATTCTTCCCTATGTGGCATTTGAGCGATTTGCCTGAGTCATCATACACGCTGATTGCTGGTATGGATTTCTTGGCATCATTCAGAACTAATGATCTCGACTGTACCCATTGGTTACCTGGCTATCCAAAGGCTGTAACGGATGAACAGTTGAAATTCTTTATCATTATCCAGTGAGTACTAGATACCTCAATGGTTCAAGCCCGAACTCACTAACCGGAACGCCCGTGGTTCGTACCCAACCTCAGGTCTCGCGAAAGATGATATTTCCATCCGGATTGGGAAGGCCAGAGCAGCTTTTGCCAACCTGCGTCACCTGTGGCGTAGGCGTGACATCAGTTTCTCTGTCAAGGGTCGGGTTTACAATGCTGCGGTGCGCTCCATATTACTATATGGATCAGAAACCTGGCCGCTGCGCGCCGAGGACGTCAAGACTTTCAGTGTTTGACCATCGATGTCTTCGGAGCATTGCCCGAATCTGCTGGGAACACCGGATCAGCAATTCTGAAGAACGTCGAATGGTATTCGGGAGAAATAACTCACCCTGGATAGATGAACTGATCACACTGCACAGGTTGCGTTGGCTTGGCCACGTGCTGCGTATGCCAGTCGA